ACGCCAATACAGTTACATTGCAATGGGAAGCGCCCGACGGCGACTTTACACACTTTAGGGTGCAATTTAGAGAAGCTCATGAAGCCTGGAAAAACGTCAAACAAATATCACGTCATCAGACGTATGGAGCGAGTACACAGTACCGAACTATAATAAATGAGGTAGTGATAAATTTCACTTATCAATGAAATTGACCGATATTTTTAAGTACAACTAAGGTAAGCTAAAATTTAAGCTTCATTTGCCGCATAACTACGATTTGAAAAATGAAGCTACTAATATTCATAGTGATATAATAAACATCTAAAATATAGTAATTTTAGCTTCCATTTAATCGGGTGTTGTCCTTCCGAGTTGTCGCAGTGTATCCCAACAATGAAGAAATTAACAGTGAAGAAGCATCAGCTACAACAAAATGCGCTGCACCACCTCGCCCACCTGATGCCCTCAACTTAGATTCGGTTTCTGCAGAAGAGACAAGAGTAACATGGGCAAGACCCGCAAGGAATGATTGGCTCTGCGACCAGATTGAATATGAAGTAAACTATCGCATAGGAGGAAAAGAAGGGACCAAAATTTTGCCTGGTCACATCACAGAGTGGATTGTAAAAACACCACCGAACGTCCAAGTGCTTGCAAAAATCCGAACTCGAAATATGGCGGGTTCCAGTCAGTGGAGTCAAGAGAAAACAATAACAACACGACAGGGAATTCCTGGCCCAGTTCGGAATTTAAAACTTACGCCTAGAGGACCTAGTGAAATATTCATTTCTTGGGAACCCCCTCTAGAACCTAGAGGCCAGATTGTTGGTTATTATATCAGTTATAGGCTTAAATACCGCCTGGCATGTAAAGATGACGAGCCTCGTGACTCAAGCAGAGAATTTGTGACACTTCCTCCTCTAAAATCAACCAATCATTTACTGTCTGGACTGCTGCCATACGCAATGTATGAGGTAAAAGTCAGCGCTAGAACTTCAGATCTTGGTCCCGAAGAAACTCGTGAGGTTGCTACAGAGCCGAAAGCTCCAAGCGGGCCTCCCGTAGATGTTGATATTCTTTCAGTGACACCCACGACCGTCACTTTCACTTGGTCTGAAGTGGAGTGCTCAATGCGTCTAGGCCCAATCCTTTCTTATGAATACGAAATATTGGGTCAAGATGATTGGGCTAAAATGCTGCGTTTGATAGATAACCAAACAGAAACAACTTTAAGAATTACCGATCTAATTCCGTATACTAAATACATTATGAGGGTAAGAGCTTTCAACAATGTTGGTGGAGGTCCGTTCTGCCAAGATAAGCACTTCACTACTGAAAAAGCCGAAGCTCCGCTACCACCTCAAGACCTGTTAGTGAGTTTGGAAGGAACAGATTTCTTGTCAATTACGTGGCTTCCTCCTTACCCTCCGTACGGGCCTCATGATGCACATAAAATTCAGTACAGGCTCAATGATTCGTCACACTGGAACGATTGGACAGAAGTGGAAAAAGGTGTCAATGATCCAGCACTGGAGTGTGTAAACAGGGGTCGTTTGTGTTACACAATAAACGGTTTACAAAGTGGTCGGGAGTATTTGATTCGAGTTGCTACCCGAATTAAAGGAGGATCTTTTGGTCCTTTCTGTGAAGAAATAGTGGCCAGCACTTTACAAGTACTACCTGATGCTCCGCAACGAATCGCTGTCCTTCATAGAACTGACCAGTCATTAAACATTTCATGGGTGCCACCACTGGACTCTCACTTGTTAAAGCAGTACAAAGTTACTGTGTTAAAATCTGGAGGTTCAAAAGCTGACGAAAGAGTATACTTCGTAAACCACCCTGAAACTACCTTATTTGTTGACCGACTGGAACCAGAAACACTATATAACATTAGTGTTTCTGCAAGAGCTGATGGAGACTTTGGCCGCTCAGCCAGTGCTGTATTTGACACTAATATATTCAAGCCTCCATCACTACCGGATCCCCCTTTGGTTACACCTGATGGAGCCAATGCTTTGGACGTTTTCTGGAAAGGACTAACTGACTCGAAACATTCGAAATGGGTCAAAGCGTATATAATTGAATATCGTTCAGCAAGCAATTCTGAGTTTCAAGAGTATGGGCCTATGATACCACACGACCCAGCCAAGGTTGACTACCACGCGAAGATTTTGAGATTGAACCCAGACACTCTTTATTATGTCAGAATCAAACTTGCCGATTTGAAACGTGTTGGTAAGCCTGGTCCAGAAGCAAAGGCTAAGACTGGTTGTGACAGTAAGTTTCTTACAATACTCAGAAGTTTTATTTTTTTACGATCAACTATGATATTTGCATAGGTGGAAGAAAGATGGTAGAATAGTCGTATATTGATAAAGCATAAGAGGGCGAGAAAACGCTAATGTTGAAAAAACTATTAGAAATTCACTATTACTAGGGCCTGCTTTGCCACCGTTCAACATCAAAGCCAATGCTCCTTCATCTAATAAAGTAGTTGTAAACTGGGAAGAACCAGACTATACGTCATGGCGATGTTCGGACATCAACTATGTTATCGAGTATGTTAATGGGTCATCGCCGGCACGTCGGGTGCAAATCCCAAGGTTATTTTTTGGATAATTTTCTTACTTTTAAAAATGTGAGTACCTTTTGAAGTTGATCGTAGGTATTACAATCACTCAAAATGTCTTCACTCATTTTGCGAATTTCATTGTTCATAAAAGTTCTTCTTGCAGAATGACTGAGTACACCTTTGACTCATTACCAAACACACATTGGACGATAAGGATTCTTGTCAATAATAGCGCTGGTGAATCAGAATGGAGCAGAAAAATTACGATTACTACTGCAGAGGGAGCTCCAGGACCTGTTGAAGATATTGATGTTTCTGATAAGGATGGCAAAGCTTTGGTTACGTGGGATCCACCAAAAGACCCGAATGGCGATATTACGAAGTATACGGTTAGATACTGGTTAAAGAGCCTCGGAGAATGTGGTCCTCAGCAGAGTATACCAATCACAAAAGAGGTTACTTCTAATAACTTACTTGTTGACGATCTTATTCCGGACGCCACGTATGGATTTACGGTAACTGCATACACATCTCTTCCTGGACAGGAATCTGAAGTATTTGATTATCAGACTCCTCAAGCAGGTTAGCCAGTTGCCTCTGATTTGAATTTCTTATTTATTATAAACATTTACGTCCTTTTACACTTAACTTCATAATCATAGAAAGTTTCCAAAAAGAAAATTTCTGTAAGAGAAATTATTTAAACACTACTCAAATGTTCAGCATAAGTAACACAATTGATAAATTTGCATACTATTGCAGCACCAACAGGAAAGCCGAAAAATATAAGAGTAGATCCAGTTGATCGAAGAAGTGCAAATGTGGTTTGGGAGAAACCGGATTGTGAGTTAAGAAATGGTCCTATCACTGGTTATTCTGGCGAACTTAAGGCACTTGATGATTGGGGTAACGATGAAGAGGCATTTGGTGCCGCTGAATCCGCCCTGTATGAAAATCTGATTCCGTTCACCCGTTATAAGGTTCGGGTAAGAGCCAGTAACTCTGTAGGAGACGGTCCATTTTCAGACTGGATACACTTTACTACTTTGCCTGAGGGTAACTATTTTGATTAATGATGGTATACCGTGTTTGTTTACCAGTTTCACTGCTCCTTAACTATTGAATTCTTTCGTACTTAGCTTGTTTGAACTACTCTCGTTTAAAAAATCTATAAAAACTCGTTTATAGTGCGTTTAGAATTATATCACGCTCATTTTTCACTAACACTGACAAGTCTGACAAGTTGCACTGCAAGATTTTAGTTTAGACTTAAGCTTAACTAAGATCTGAACGAAATTGTTAAATGCATAAATATTATTACTCCAGCACCTTCTCCGCCAACTGATTTGACTGAAGAAGATTCCTTCCCAGAGGCAATTGAAATCTCATTCTTGCCACCTTTTCCGCCGTACGGTATTTTGAGCACGTACAAAATCCGAAGCAAAAATTTGAGAGATGTAAGTCTTATTGGAAACCTATATCATTATGAGAAGTGGAGCTTTAGTTGAGGTCAAGCACACGTCGTTGTTCATTTTGGTATTACGGCTAAAATCATTCGTATTTAGAAGAAAGGAAAGGAAAAGGAAGTGAAAGTGCGGAAAGAAGAACTACAGTGCTCTGACAGGTCTAAGAAAGATCGATTGTGCTATCGCGTAGCGGAATTAATCCCAGAACAAGATTACGTAATTGACGTTGCTGCGTATACCGAAAATGGTGGCTGGAGCGACTGGAGCCAGAAGCTTACTGCTCGCACTCATGATCAAGGTAATAAATTTATTTGTTTCAAAAATACTGCAAGTTCCCTAAACTGACTGTTATAAAAAAAACAATTACTAAAGTTAGAATTTCTAACTCACTGATGATTTTAAAAGCACAAAAATTTCAGAAATTCCTGTTCCTGAGCAGACCTTGAGAATTACCGATGAGAAGGCAGAAAGCATTACTGTAGAATGGGATGGATTGACTCCTGAGAAGGTTAAAAAACCTGTTGTAAATACGTGGTGAATCGGGTAACAATCAATTTGAAATGTTTTTATAAGAGCGCAGTTTTTAGGCTGCTCACATATACGGTTACGTCCTGGAATACAAAGCAGCGGATGAAGACGAGTGGCAAACCTATGAAAATGTTGTAAAACATAAACCGCGGCAGAGCAAATATAAGGTACAGGTGAAAGGGTTGGCAGAAGCAACAGAGTACTTTTTCCACTTGAGAATAGTTGGCATTAATGATAAGAGAGGAGCTCCTGGACCTGACGCTACTGGAAAAACCAAATGTGGACGTAAGGCATACTGCATTCACACTTAGTCTGTAGATTAAATTTTTACGTCGCAGTTTTCTAATTCCTGTTTCAATTTTGATTTTAAAAAATTTTTTAGGTCCACAAGAGCCGCCACATGATATTCACTTACATTCAGTTGGTTTTAACAAAGTTCATCTATTTTGGAAGAGTCCCGACAAAGAAACATGGAAATGCGATAATGTGCAGTATTTGGTGGAATACAGAAATACTACAGTTCCTCGTGGAGTTGTTAATGTTGCGGAAGATTCACCAAATGAAATTTTCATGGAATCCTTGCCAGGTGCAAAGTGGGAAGTAAGAATGAGAACTGAGACTGTTGAGGAGGGACAGAAGCCGCTGTATAGTCCATGGAGTGAGTGGAAAACATTAAATGTAAAATCATATCCAGGAGAAATTTTTGTTGATGTTCAAGTTCAGTCGCCAACATCAGCTGTTGTCACATGGGACCTAAACGACAAAGACCGTCTGTGGAGTTATGGAGTCGACATTGTAGCAAAATTGATAAAGGCAGGGGGTTGCAAGAAAACGGACTACGAACCAATAGTCATGAAGAATGTCCACGACAAAAAGGTGGTATTAGATGGACTGCTTCCTGGTTCAGAATACGAGCTTACCGTTATTCCGCGTAGGTTTTCTAGCGCTGGCAATGATCTACCAAAAACTGTTAAGAAGTTTACAACGCATAGTGATGTTCCTTCTGGGCCACCAACTAACTTACATCCTAAAGATAGTAAGGACACTATGATCGCTTTTGCTTGGGAGCCGCCTCTATGCCACGAACAAAACGGTGAAATAAATGAGTATTTGTATGTTGTTGAGCCTGTTGACACATGGAACAAGGTCAGCGGTATTCAGGAAAGTGCAACTAAGAAGCTATGGGCGCACATGGATGGACTCATGCCTGGTTCCTCCTATAAGGTTAAAGTCCGGGCAAAAACAACTGCTGGTTTGGGACCTTGGTCTGATTATATAACTATGAAAACAACTGGTTCAGAAGTAGATAGACCTCTGGATTTAGTGGCAATTCAGACAACAGTTAATTCTGTTTCGTTGGCGTGGAATCCGCCGTATCCTGAACGAGCTCCTGTGAATTCATATAAAGTCACGCACAGCCCTGGTGGCAATGGCGCAGATTCAAGAGATGTGCAGTTTAATCTGTATGAACTTGGATGTTCTGCTTTCCAACCCAACCCGAATTTGAAAAAGGAAAGTTTATGCGGAACTATCCTTGGTTTGAAACCAAACACAACGTATCGATTTACAGTGCAGGTTAGCAGGCATTCAAATTTTGATCAGTATGATAGAGAAGCAGATGAGTTTGAGTAGACTATCAATCGCATTTAAAAATTACAGCTAAATATTTTTAAGCTGAAAGCTCAAGATAAAATAAAAAAGCGGTTGGATTCTAATAAAAAGTCATTTTTCATGTATCACATGTTTTTCACCGTCTATTTAGTTGCATTAAGCGCGATTGTTTCTGCTTTACGCAGAAGTGATACTTACCTTACTGTTTTTAGTACGTTATAAAGTAATCCACTATATTACGAATTACTGGGAAATTTAGATTTTGACTATTTATTACTTTCAAAAGTCTATCACTTTAGGGGAGATCTGCGTCATCTGAAGAGTGGGGGCTTCCATCTCAACCACACTATGCTACTACAAGGGTGAAGGAAGACCGAGATGACTGGGGAGGTATACGTTTGGTATCGGCCAGTTATGACAGACTGAAAGTCAAATGGACACCACCGGAAGTTATTCGAGATGCAGTTAGCAAATATCATGTACGTTTTACAATCTGGAATTGTTTGCAATCTTAATAATTTTAAATAAAAACGTTGTGATTTTTAAGGTGAACATATCTGTTGCATCATCACTAGATAAAATGCCCAAACAGGAATTGGTGGACGCTGCATACCTGGAAAAAGAATTCCGAAACTTGGAACCAGTGACTAGATATAACATCACCGTTCAAGCGTTCTCGCCTGAACGAAGTATTTGGTATGCACAGGGAGTATTTGATACCACTGACTACGGTAAGTCTAGCTTCTTAACTGCCCTAAATTTAGTCTATCTCAAAATAGGATGTTTATAAACCTAAACGGTATCGAACTTTTCAGTTTCAACTTTTCAAAAAATCGTTTTTTGTAATTTTTAAGGGTAACTGATGTTATTAATTTTTTAACACATGGAAAATTTGTAGCATCTGGTATTATTCCTTGGCTAACAGCTCCAATTGATTTGAGTCTTTATGACAAATCGGACGTTATGCTTCATGTTCAGTGGAGTCATCCGGTACTTGGTGAACCGGAACGAATCAATGAAATAATTGAATACAAAGTATAACAACACTAAATTTGCTTTAAAATAATTTAAATTTGTTACAGTTAAGCCTTTTAGGTGTAATTTTAAAACGTGTTCAGAGAGTCAGTTTAAGGTAATAAAGTTAAAGTGATTTTCTTGGCAATTTTTACAATTTATTTATTTTTAAGGTTACCATCGCGCCGTTTGATAAGTTTACTGGTAAGCTGGGTACCTCAAAAGTGTATACTGTTGACGCAGAAAGAAGAACAATTATCTTAGATGGTCTGACTCCAGAGACCATCTATAATGTTACTGTGCAAGCAATGACAGACAACGGTTACGGTGAAATGGCTTGGGCAGTGTACAGCACTTTACCACCTGGCCAAGAGCACATTCTTAGACTATTGCACAGAACACCAACGTCGCTTACAGTCGCATGGGAACCAAAGTGGCCTGTCGATGACCACTACGTGGTTAGTCCTGCAGAATGTTAAATCAATTCTTTGAACTGATCAGCTAAAATCCTAAAGTGTTTTACTTTTTATTGGTGTAGCTTTTTTGCAGTACAATGCAAACGTTTGCTTAAACAAAGAGTGTTCTTATCAGTCAAATACTTATTGTGAAGGATTACTTGTAACTTGTTAAAGAGTTTGAGAAATTAAGCAACATTAGTCAGCTTTTTCTGTTGCTGTTTATGAATTTTTCAGATTAATTTTATTAATTTCAGCTCCAGTGGATAGGTCTTCATTCAGCCATCCCTCACGGAAGGATGAAGAAGCTTCACACAGAGGAAATCGAAAGTACCAGGCGGAACTATACTATTACTGACTTAGATCCAGCTACCACATACAATGTGTCAATAAGGCCAAAGAATCAAGTGAATGGAGCTTGGGGTGTTTATGCTACATTACCTCCTGGGTGGCACATGGTACGGAACTTTGTATGGTGTGCTAGAGAAGATCATGCAGTTTCACTAAAATGGGACGGTATAGAAAATGATTTGGCTAGCGACTACATGATAAGATATAAGTCTTCAAAAGATGGTACATGGAGTCACGAAGAAGGGAGAGCTGCTGAGATGCTTTGTCCGAGGGACCCTGATCCTTCAACTGGCAGGGAGTGCCATAAACGCTGCTTCTTAGTATTCAATTTACCTCACAAATCTGCCATATACGACTTTCATGTCCGCGCAAAGGTTATCTTTCTCGTATATTTTCTTTATTTCTTTTGTTTCACAAAGCTTTTGACAACATCAGTAACGTGGGGATAACTGCTGGTCTTACATAAAGTTTTTTTTAGATTTTAAGAACTATTTTAATGATAAAAATCTTTGTTTTTTTTTGTGCTGCTTCAAAGAAATATTTATTGGGTTCCATTTGACTGGGTATGTTACATTGTGCAGGTTAACGGAGTTTGGAACAGATGGAGAAACGTTGGGAGACCAGAATTTTTGCCAAAACCAGGTCAAAAAGATTCATGCTGTATTGTACCTCCAGTTGGCTTTGTTGAAAATATCGGTAGTGAAGGCACCAGTTTCCCGATAGATATCACTCCTGTAGCGAAAAGACCAGAAAACGTAACGTAAGTTCTTATTTTAACTTTTTGCTTTCTTTATTTCATGTCAGTTGTAAAGAGGCTTTTAACTGTAATTTATTGTATATTTCTACGTATGTGATTTGTTTCGTTTCACGGAGCTGATGCTATTTTCGTTGACAGCCAGTCTCTTTTAAAGAGAAGTTTCAGTGATTTAAGAACCCTCTCTTAAAAATAAGAAGTTTTAAATGCAGTTTTTTTTTTTGGATAAAGTGAATTTGATGTATGTGACTTTACGAAAAAACTTTAAATTTGTTTTTTTTTCACTTCTGTAACGGAGAAGTGATTAGACGATGAAATTGAAAAAACAGTCATTTTTTAGACGTTACTATGTGATCGTTGATGAACGTGTTCCACCTGGAGAAACTAATTGGACATACCTAACTGACAGACGAACAGCCTATGAACGAGGATACAATTATTACATTGCTGCATCGTATACACCAGAAACTTTGCTTGATAATAAAAAGGTTTAGTTCAACAAAATCGTCTGCTGTTATTAAAGTTTTTACTACCATTTGAAGAATTCTAGTTTTTGTACCTGCTGGTAATTTTACACACAAAAATGCACCACATTTTATTCGTTTCTTTCTTATTTAATTTTTAATTAGCTTGATCTCTACCGGTGTACTCACTCTTAAGTTCATAATATGCATAATGGAGTAATCAAAATATTAAAAATAAGTAAATTTCAAAGAAGAAACCTTGAACTTTCGCAGTTTAAAGATTTTTCCAAGGTTACCTTAAATAAAAATTAACACTGCTTTAGCGTAGTTTCAAAGGGAGAATTTGGTGCATTCTCCTACGTGAGATTTTTTTTGGAAAATTGCTTTTATAGAAGTGCTGTTGTCCTAGATAATCATTAGAATTTCTAAGAATAAAACTGATTGGCACTACAGATGACAATTGGTGATGGAAAAGTAATTGGTGGTTATCTAAATTATCCGTTAAAGAAAGGAAAACAATACAGTCATAAATTCTTGGCAATATGGGATCTGGACGGAAAACCAGGTGTTGTTGGTACTTGGACAGGTAAATAGTTATAATTTTTTCTGAAAAGCATTTAAAAGATAATTCTGACAAATTTATTGGCTTATAAATTCTAGTCGTATATTTGATATTATGTTGTCAGCGTTTACTTTCCTGCAAAAAATGCGAAAAAAAAGAACTGTATGACACTTTTATGGTGTTATAAAAAAGTAACATAACATTCCTCTTCGGCGTCTTTATTATGGTTCCAGGTTTTTTTTTTTTTTGCTTGCAAAATTTATTTTCAATCTATAATTTCATATGTTTATTCTGTGTTAAAACTATATTTGTTTTACATTAGTCATCCCATATATTGTTTGATAAAGCAGCAGTGCAGGTTTTTTTTTTACTTAGTCTGTATTTTAGGAATCAAACGGTGACAGCGGAACAGTTTTCATTTTTAAGTAATGATAAGCAAAAGAAAAAAAAATTCCGTTAACTATTATGAATTTTTTTTCGTAATATCTATTGCAAAATGGTTCGTTATTGAAGTGAATAATAATAATAATAATAATAATATTTGTTATAATGGGTGGTTTTATTTTTTTTTTTGTTGTGCGAAAGATGAACGGGGAGTAGAAAAGGGGGGAGAGAGGGGGCGGGGAAAGGAGGTCTTCGGTATGGGTACATATAGTATGCTTGAAAGTTCATACTGTTTGGAAGATGGAAAAAAGTTGTCATCGTCAACTAAGTTTTTGCAAGACGTTATAATGTGTATAGAAGGGAAGGTGACGGACGACGGGTTGAAAAAAATAGAAGAGAGATGAATTTGCAGGCAAGACAAACATACAAATCTGAAAAAGAAATTTTTATTTGATAGAATTTATAACAAATTTTATTGTACAAGAACAACGCCGATTGAGCGTCCGTAGCATCTCGACATGGCTCCTTACCCAAAAGGTAACCAGATCTCTGATGTATTTATTTATTTGTTTGCTTTTGTTTTGTTTTCTATTTTGTTTGATGCATTCATCATCTACTGCTTTTCCTCTTGCTTCCTCTTATTCTTCCTTCAATTTTTTTCTTTTACTCTCGTCTATTTTGGCTATCAAATTGTTTGGATTTAATACTGCTGCTACCGGAGACAGAATACAAGCAAGAAACGACAATAAACTGTCTGAAGTAAACTGACTAAACAGTTAACAGCGGAAATCGAGGAAATTAATAGGAAAAAAATAGAAATCGAAAACAGTAAAGTAGAAATCTAAACACTGTATTAATTGGCTGTAAATATTGATAATTAAAACTGTTTGTTATAAATCCAAAAAATTTTAGAAACAAAAAAAAAAACAAAAAAAAAGAAATGGATATATTGATAGGAGCAGTTATTTTCGGTGACCTTCAAAATAAGAAAGAGAAAACAACAACAATAATAGGGTCTTTAATTAGTTTATGCTCTTTTTTTTTCATTTTTTAATCAGAAAAGTTGATTTTTGGACTTTATTTTTGAAAAAAACGGCTATTCTTAGCTGTAGAAAAATTTTTATTGGAAAAAAAAACAGTTAATTTCTCATATATATATATATA